TCACGACCCGTGAAAATCCGCGAGAGATAACGTAACGTGTACTTCTTAACTGGAGAATCGATTTATTGTGGAAGACATTGCGAGTCTGATTTATAGGAAGATTCTTCTTATACCAAGATTTATCGCTCCCTTTTCCAATTTTTCGAATATCGTTCGAATATTCTTCGAATCTGGAAGAAATCACGAATAATTGTAACACTCTTACCACCCTGGTCGAATATTTTCGACTTGCTCGAGCCAATCCAAAATTCAACGCAGTTTTTTCTCCCCTTCCCCAATTTTACACTCGATTCTTGGTGTCGATATCCTCTGGTTTCCATCCAGGACGACTATCGCGAAATTCGAACGAGACCTCTTATCAACGGCCACGTATTTCGCGCCACCATTGCACGGGCACACAACGTGCACACAACGTGCACGTACGCGTATCGTGGCCGCACGTACATTTACGTAGGAGAGTACAAACGTATCGCGTTACGATGGAGCAACGCCCATCGGTTTCGGATAGCAGAGAGAACGCACGAAATCGCCTAGCCGCGACGCGCAATACGCGAAACGTTTCGCGTAGACACGGATTTGACACAATCGGGACCGGCGATTGCCACTTTGATGGCCGGCGCGCAACGGCGATAGCAACAACTTTTACCTATACACCCGCCTCGCCCGTCCTTTGAACGCTTCGCTTCTGGTGTAGAATTGCGAATACGTGTATTCTCCCTCGATCGATCGGAATTGAGGGATATTCGATAATTCGACTCGCTTCGATTTTTCCCTTCGTTTGGAACACGATATATTTCCTAATCGATTGTCCAGTTTTTTTTTTTTACTTTTTTCGTATTAATTTTCGTATGAATATCATTTTAAGACGTTTACGACGTTTATCGCGTTTTGTAATTGGAGAAAATTGGAGCAAGGAGGAGAATATATATATATATTTCTTACGCTGTCGATGTTTTGATCCTGAAGAATTATATCAGGAAGTAAAATTTGTGTAATATGATATACAGAATCTTCCGCTATACACGAATTATTATAGAAATTTTTCTTTTGTATTTTATTTGAGATACACGCGGACAATCAGAACGGAACGATTTTTATAGTGGGCGGGTATGCGGTTCAACGATTTATCGCACGATTTTTGAAACGAGACTCGAACGTTTGTCCGAATGGATTAAGAATCGACGTATTCCATAAGAATAGGGAAACCGGAAGTCGACCTCGTACAGTGAGATTTATGGTCTTTCGAGTGTCTCGTTGCTGGCTCTTGCCCACCCCGCCCACGAACGGCAGTAGATTACGCGGTTTTTGCACCGTGAAGCATCCTGTACGCGTTCCCCTAGGCGCGCAATTTATCGATTATACAAACAATAAGGAAATCCTCGAAGCGAACGAGACGTGGAAGGATTCCGGTTCGAATGGTTTCGCTTTATGCGACCAGTCCCCTTTTATCCATCGTAAAAATCTTTTATCTTATTCTTACGTTTTAAAACAATTTTTCTATCCGTGTAAATTTAAATACCGGCCTCTACTCAATTATTCCTTAAACTTAATAATAACGATTGATAAATTCGTTCTAAAAATCTAGAAATCTTCGTCCCAACCTCTTCAACGAATCCAAACTTTCAAAACTTCTCAAAAACTGTTGATAGAATTTCAAAATCTGTCTATCGAAGGTATTTCGAAGGTCGATATTTATACCTATTCCTAAATTTTTCCCAAACGTGAAATGAAATTAAAAAAACTCGACGTGAAGTAACGATTGTTGGAGCATTTCTTTAACGAAATGGTCGTAATTCAGAAATTCGCAGGAAAAGGAAGAATGGATTTTCCTTGGTTGGAGCTCGCGAGGCCGAGTCGCTTCTCGACACCTCAGGCTTAATTAATTTTAAACAAAGTTAAAGTCAGGTGACGTGCAGCCACCAACGCGAGCGGATGCACTCGACCGAGCGTCGCTGGTAACGTAATACGGAGTCGGACTACCTGACCGATCTGACAGTAAGCTCGAAACAAAATCGAATCGGTGCACGGGGAGCATCCGTACAGCTGGAACTCGTTTATAAACAAGCGTCCCCTTTTGGTTTCCACTCGAATCGATTGTGAAAGAAGAAGAAGAAGAGAAAAAAAAAGAAAAGAAAAGAAAAGAAGGAGAAAGAGAGAAAGGCCTTCGCGCCTTAATCTTCTCCCTCTTTGGGTCGCATGCTAATTCTACTTGTCCCATAAATATCAAATTTTGCGTCCATTTAGTTTTTCTTTTTCCCTCTTTCTTCCAGTATTTCACTTCCGGTATTTAATTTCCTCCTAATCTTTTCGCGAATTCTTTTTTTTTTTTTTTTGAGAGAGAGAAGGGAGGGGATACAACGTTTTCCTTTCAATGGAGAAATTTAATGAATGTTAGAAATAAGCCATCTTTTTTTTTTTTTTTCTGCGAGTATTCAAAAGTCTTCTCTGGAAATTCTTTTCTTTACCATCTCGCAATCTCGATATTCACATGGAATGTATCCATGGGTTGCTCGATATTTAATCGTAACAAGTCGCGTTTCAACAACGCGAATATGAATATATTCCATCGAATAAATTAGATACGTAAAAAGAAAGGAATAGAAATAGATTCGATGATTTTTTTCTTATTGTCCCTCTCTACGGAATAATAAAACGAAGGAATAATAAAACGAGTTGAGACGAGTGGAGAGGAGCGAGTTCCATTGGAGCATGCTCCGTACCGGAAATAAACGTCAACGGCGAACAGATCGATGATTCGCGTCCATGGAAACCGCGGATGGACCAATGCGGGGAGGTTACTCTCCTTTCCGCGCATTCGCCTTTCGCCTCTCTCTTGCTGGCCAACCGAAGGAAAACCTCTGCCGCCAAAGCGAAACCGAATGATATTTATTTCGAGGTAAACTACATCTTGTCTAACCGTTCGAGCCAAACCTTTTCCGCGACACAGAATTTTTTATCGTGGAATTATATCATTTTTACAATTAACACGTGTAATCGATCGATTCTACATAATTAATCCCCTGCTGGGGCTATATTATCCAGTAATTTTGTTGAAGTTAAACCCGAAAGATGCTTTAAAATCGTGTTATTTTGCACAATGAGCAAAATGATCGATCGATCGTTGACGAAAAGAGACAAAAGTTGCGAGTGTTAGGAAATTAGAATTCGAATGGAGAAAATTTGGAAAAGAATTTCAAAGAAGCAATGCCCCGCGTGATTCAATTAGAGGGGCGATTAAACAAAGCCTCTCGGATACTTTTCAAATCCTGTGAAACAGATTCCAACCCCCAAGTTGTTCGTTTCCACCGTGGTAGTGCGGTTCGATTCCACGCTTCGAGAACACCTACCTATCGCCAAGTTTTACTCATTAAGTAAAGGTATTATCCCGCCTCGTCTCAGCCAACGTTCTGCAACGATATGCAATCAAGTGCACAGACAGAGAGCGTGCACTTAAATTACTCCTCCTCTCGAGAGTTCGTATCGAACGTACGACGAGAACTTGCCTCGTTAACACGGAGTTGGAAATCACGGTGGCCAACTTCCAAATTTATCGATACGATACGATACGCCATTTTCGAATCGACTAACGATGATCACGCTGGAAACTACGATTTTCACGTTTCCCCCCTTGTTTCCCCCTCCCCCTCCTTTCTTTTTCTCTTTTTTCTTTTTTCTTTCTTTTCTTTTTTTTTTTTTGGTAGGTTTTTAATTGACGTAGTAGTTTTT